AGTGAGTGAGTGAGATTGAGAGAGTGAGTGTGTGAGAGAGTGAGTGTGAGTGAGTGAGAGATTGAAAAAGTGAGAGTGAGTGAGATGGAGAAGTGAGTGAGTGGGTAAGAGTGAGTGAGTGTGAGAGAGTGAGTGTGAGTGAATGAGTGTGTGAGAGTGAGATTAAAAGTGTGACTGTGAGAGTATGTGAGTGAGAAAGTGTGAGTAAGAGAGTGTGAGAGACTGAGTGTGAGAGAGTGTGAGTGTGTGAGAGTGAGAGAGTGAGAGAATAAGAGAGTGAGTGTGAGTGAGGTTGAGAGTGAATGTGTGAGAGTGAGAGATTGAGAGCATGAGAACAAGTGAGAGAGTGAATGTGTGAGAGTGAGTGAGATTGAGAGTGAGTCTGAGAGTGAGTGAGATAATGAGAGAGAGTGTGAGTTAGTGAGAGAGTGAGAGCAAGTGAAATTGAGAGAGTAAGTGAGAGTGAGTGTAACAGAGTGAGAGATTGAGAGAGTAATAGTGAGAGTGAGTGTGTGAGAGTGAGTGAAATTGAGAGAGTGAGTGTGAGAGTGACTGTGTGAGAGAGTGAGTAAAAAAGAGTGAGAGTGAGTATAAGTGAGTAAGAGATTGAGAGAGTGAGAGAAAGGGTGAGTATGTGAGAGCAAGTGAGATTGAGAGAGTGAGTGTGAGAGTGAGTGTGTGAAAGAGTGAGTAAAAAAGAGAGTGAGAGAGTGAGTGTGAATGAGTGTGTAAGAGTGAGATAGTAAGTGTGAGTGAGTGAGTGAGTGAGTGAGAGAGAATGAGAGAATGAGTGTGAGTGAGAGACAATGAGAGAGTGAGTGTGATTATCTATCTATATATATATAGATAGATAGAGAGAGTGAGTGAGATTGAGAGAGTAAGTGAGAGAAAATGAGAGTGAGTGTGAGTGAGAGATTGAGGGAGATATTGAGAGAGTGAGAGTTATTGAGAGGGTGAGTGTGTGAGAGAGTAAAAAAGAGTGAGAGTGAGTGTGAATGAGTGAGAGAGTGAGTGTGAGTGAGTGAGAGATTGAGAGAGTGAGAGTGAGTGTGAAAGTGAGTGAGATTGAGAGAGTGAGTGTGAGAGTGAATGTGTGAGAGTGAGTGTGTGAGAGTAAGTGTGTGAGAGAGTGAGTAAAAAGAGTGAGTATAAGTGAGTGAGAGATTCACAGAGTGATTGTGAGTGAGTGGGTGAGTGTGTGAGAACAAGTGAGATTGAGAGAGTGAGTGAGATTGAAAGAGTGAGTGTGAGTGAGTGTGAGTGAGTGTGTGAGAGTAAGTGTGTATGAATGAGATTGAGTGAGTAAGAGATTGTGAGAGGGTGAGTGTGTGAGAGTGTGTGAGATTGAGAGTGAGTGTGAGAGTGAGTATAAGTGAGTGAGAGATTGAGAGAGTGAGAGTGAGTGAGAGGGTGAGTGTGGGAGAGCAAGGGAGATTGATAGAGCAAGTGATATTGAAAGAGTGAGTGTGAGAGTGAATGTGTGAGAGAGTGAGTAAAAAAGAGAGTGAGAGAGTGAGAGAGTGAGTGTGAATGAGTAAGAGAGTGAGTGTGAGTGAGTGTGTGAGAGTGAGTTAGTGTGTGTGAGTGAGTGAGATTGAGAAAGTGAGTGTGATAGTGAGCGAGAGCGTGAGTGAGATATTGAAAGAGTGAGAGTGAGATAGTGAGTGTGAGTGAGTGTGTGAGAGTGAGATTGAGAGTGAGTGAAAAAGTGAGTGTGAGTGAGTGAGAGAAATAGATAGAAAGAAAGAGATAGACATAGAGAGAAAGAGTGTGTGTGTGTGTGTGTGTGTGTATGTTTAACAATATTTATTTTTAATGTGTGTGTTTGTATTGTATATAGAGATATCTCTATATATAGTGTTTGCATACAAACATTTGGATTAGGAGGGTTGCCGTAAGAGGGTGGGCATAGACAGTGAGCTGAGCTGTAGAGCGCTCAGTTCATTCATAGAGCGGTATTCAATGCCGCTCTATGAAGAACCTAATTGGTGCAAGCGTCTGATTGAGCCCTGCTATTTCGTCATTTTGATGGAAAAGGGGGCGTGGCCTGCAGAGGAGCTCGGCGCTGGAACGGAGGTAAGCAAACTAATATAAAAGCAAGAAAGTAGGCTTTTATATGTGTACTATAACGATCCTTTAACTATTACATCGGTAGCATGGATCTAGGGATTAAAACCAGAG